TCAGGCTCACAGTTAAAGAAAAACCAAAGGTGAACTTAAGTGCTCATTTCTCTGTCTGATCAGAAATACCTGATGATCTCTGAAATGTAGCAAACTGTCCCCCCCTTACCATTTTCAACTGAATTTCATCATGCAAGATACCAAATGGGACTTGAATAGTCAGCATTTCACAAGAGTGGAGAAGGGGAAAAAAAGTCTCAACTACACAAAACTCAGGTGTATCTACACATAAAAAACCCTGTTTTCCTGAGATTTCAATCCAATCCACTGAATTAGAAGGTCCAATAAGCATCTGAAATTTCTTATCTGATCAAGGTCTCCAAACCTCTGCCACACATCACAATTCTTGTTATCAAATTAATTCAAACAAAGCAGTGACTGATTTGGTCTACTGTTTTTTGAAGGCCTATCAAAATTATTTCTTGATTGCAAAACAGGTATAGATTATAGCTGGTAAACACTTGAGAGTGTTGATTTATTGGTTCATTGGTGTCTGAAAGCACAGCCCAAAGGCTTCTCTTGCAAACCTTTAGAGTGCAACTACTATTTATTAATGATTATTGCACTCTTTTGTAAGTGGGAAAAAGATCACGCAGTTAATTCAGCTGACTATACTTAAATCTACTAAACCAAGAACAAGCACTGCAGCTGGTCCACTACTGCCATGCAGGAACAGTTTGGGGTAAATTAATTCACTTCTGACAAATGTATCGCTCCTAATTCTATCTACAGAAGTACCTGAACACCTTCCATTGACTTTCTAAGTTACCATAGAATCCTGTTTCACCTGAACTACTAAATCCCTTTCTAGTTTTTGCTCCTCCCAGGTCCTTCTATGCTCATTCTGTGTAATAACAAGGCTTAGTATTACAGAAAACCCGTACATTTTTTCCAAGTGATTCTCCATGCCCAAACTCTCACAAGATCTCATTTTACCAGATAAATGTATACTTGCAAAGAAAACAACAGAATTAACCTTAGAGGATAGTACAGATCTCTATTCCCTCCCCACATTCAACACAGAGACACTTGTAATAAACTGGCAGACAGAGACACTTGTAATAAACTGGCAGACAATGGCAGACTTTCTGAAGGGAAGCTATCATTTTCCAATTGCAGTGCAATCATACACTTGAAACATTATTTTTATTAGATGCTTCTCTGTCTGAAGTGACAAGAAGGTAATGATTATTACTTTCTCCAGTCCCAAATCTGGCGTTTGTCCCAGCAGCAGAGGAAGGGGACCGATAGTGTAGAGCTACACTTTCCCATCCATGTGCAAATCCTACCACAGTTACTTAATTTTCCTGAAATATATAAGAACATATTTTCTACATTCACTGCTAGGTGTCTGACAGTAATAAATGAAGGCCACTATTTGGACAAACTTGTCATAATTATTTCTAGATGCTAACGCATTCCACTAAATATTCCTACAGTACTGCCAGTGTAAACACTAATGAAACACCCAGAGCAGGCATCATATCACTCATGTTTCACAGTGATGCCATGTGAATATGCAGGAGAGGAAACATTGCCCTCCCACAAACCCTTCTCTCCCATCCTTTACAGGATTCCTGTGCTTTTACATCAGCTGATAAAACAACTTTTAATCATCTGCATTGGCATACGTAGGCACACAGTACATTTTGAGCTTGCATTTTTGGCAATACATCCTAAAATTTAGCAACAGCCAAGGCTTTGATTCATAAGCCATAAGATCACATATAACCACACAGATATTTTCCCCTTTTAATCCAGTATCTCATCTAATCTGCACATAGAACAGTTCAAAGAATATGTCTTGCCCACTTCCCTTGGCAAAACAGACAATGGCAAACTACCAAGACTGGTTAAATATTTCTGCTCCCTGCCCTAATATTCTCTGCCCTTAGTTTTGGGACTGGCAGTAGCTCAGTAACTCAGAATTTTATCATTTATGAAGAAATAGACAGTAAATATAAATGAAGAATAATAAGTATATAGGCATGTTGTTTTTTCCTTCTAAATCCTGAATGAAGTAAATTTATGCACATTTTGCATACAACAAAAAGACTCTTTATACATAAATTATATTCACTTTTCACCATGTATTTTACTAGTAGGAAGAATCTTGCAATGTAACAGAAAACAAACTCTTTCCTAAGGAAAACTAACATGTGCACTATTTTTGAGTCATGTAAAGAATACCAGAGCAGAGAAATTGTTCAAAGAGAAGACTCTTTCTCTGGCAGAGAACTGACCAGACAGTAAATCAAATCTACTGATGATCTTAAAAATTCTCCAATTATGGGTGCATGTCTGAGCTTTGCCCACAGTGTTTACATGACCTCCAATGAACATCCTGAACTACAGCCAATATTCACTAGAACCAACTACTGTGTAAACAACTGTGAAAAAAGATACAGGAAAAGCTTTTTCAAGTTTGTAGCCTGCAACTGCATACAGTGGGAATTGATAGAGCTTTTGCAACACAAATAGTGCCCCAAATCAGTTCTCCACACAGAGAAAGTTTCCAGTGATAAAGGACACATGTAAGGCACGTTCTTTTAAAAACCTGCCTCCCGTGAAGAAGCTCATTGTTCATAAAGGGAATGGTGTTTACACAGGAAAAAGTCTACTTTCAACAAATCTAAAATCCAACAGATGTTTCCTTCTATCTAAGCAAAACAAGTTTGTGACCCATTTCTGCCCAATCAGAAAGCTTCAAAATTATTTCTGTAGGAAAAAAAAACCCTCCAAACTTGACAGAATGATCTTGGAAAACAAATTCAATAAAACTTGTATTTCAAAATAGCAAGTATTACTAAAGTGAATTAACTTCTTAAAAAAAACAACGCTCTTTATAGAGAATGTCTTATGATCTGGATTTGAAGAGCTACAACATGATAATTTTGGTTTGTGAAAGAGAAAGTAGGGCAGACTGTTCACTCACAAATGCTCTGCATTGCAATTGCTCTCCTCAAATCAATTTACCCTCCCTTCTTCTCCTGCAACAACCCTCCAAAGCTCCTGGCTGCTCTTGGTTTCTTCAAATTTCATAAGACTTCTCTTCCTCTGAAAACAGCAACTAAATAACAGAAGTGGCTGAGCAGAGTATAAAAGTGGATCTTTTAATTCTATTTTACAGTATACACTAATCATACAGGAAGCCTAAGCACTGTGTAGGAGTGTAGAAGACAAAGAATTTCAGGCTTTGCCAAAGTTGTACAGTTACATACACTGTGCTGTTACACACCTTACTTTGACTTACCATCAGGAGAAAGTTTCAGGACTTTCAAGATGTACCTGGTGGCATTGCACCATTACAGAGCAAAGCTGGATCTGGTGACGTCCTGTTGCACAACCAAATGCTGCAAAGACAGCAGCTTCCAAGGAGTTGGTGCACTTTCTGTGCCCAACAATACTGAACTGAGATGGATCACAGGTTGCTGAGGATTTTATCAATTTTTTATACCTTTTATAAAATGTAGCTGCAGAGGTCAAATAAATTATATTAACAGCTAGATGCAAACATCAAAGCCAAAGTTAAAATGGTCTTAAACATGAGTAGGACAAGTGTAATAAGTGCATGCAACCTTCTGTGCAACCTTTACCTCCACGAGTCCCTTCTTCACTTTTCACTGGATTTTACTCCAGTTATTTCTTGTCCAGATATTTTGTGAGTGTTCCACAAAGTTCCTACCTCTGTATTGTTGTATGTGCAGCACCTTCAGCACTGAGGTTCCTTAACCCAGCTGAAGCCTCTGCATGCCCTGAGATGAATATAAGAAGGCAGAACTGAAATCTGCCAGCCATGCAATGCACCATTATTACACCCAACACGAATATCAGCAATGCAAAGGAGACCCACTGAGATGCAATTCAAATCTGCCTATCAATTATGGCAGAAAGTAGAAGCAGTTTTCTCTCTCCTCCAGTAATCCTATTTGTCCTTTAAATAGATCTTAAGCATAATCTTGAACTGTCAGCATTTCTGTAAAGAAATACCAGCTCAGACCTAATTGGATTTGTCAGACAATCACAGCCCATGAGTTCTCTGAGATCTAACAGCTGAACAGCTGTGGGAAAACCTTCCACATTATAATATAAGAATCTGAGTTCATTTCAAGAGGGAATATTTCCTCTGAAATTAAGTGATAAAAAGACATAATTTGTTGCACAGAACCCTGTGCCTTAGCAATATCATGATGTGGTGTAGCATACCAAGATTATGTGAGCTACCCCATATAGAAAATTATCTGCAGTTAACTGTTAAACACTTTGGGCTGCTCTGAATGTAGGAAAATGGGGGTAAAGAAAATCACCAAGAATTCTACATGTAACAGCAGCATTTGAAAAGAAAATAAGTATATATTATATCACATATTAAAAAAAATAGATAGCAGAATATGTATCTTATCTGAAGAGCAGAAATACTTCCTATTCCTCTGGACTTTTTGGGTCGTCGACATATATAAACATACACACAAAAACCTGCTCTCTGTGTCATCAGCCTCCTGTTTTGTTCAGGCTTCTGTGGGCTGGAATAATGCATTTTAAAGACAATCTAGGGGATAATGGCCAAAAGGCCACACTATCCTCATCCTTTGAAGTGACGGAGAGGTTGCATGTTCAGGCAGTACAATAAGCCAAATCTTAAAATGCTTCCAATGCCTACAAATTGTGGTTTCTTTAATGAAGATCTGGATTATTTCATACATATCTGGATGGAGAAGGAAAGTTCTTATACAGATTTTATGTTGAAAATTGAAGTGATGTTCATTTCCCTAATTTTAAAATAATAGTTATACAGGTTTTAACGTTTGTATTTAGAAGAATATCAACAAGTATGCAACAATGTTATTTTGTGTATTTGCAGAGTTGGTAACTCTGTAGGAGACTGAGGAATATAAGCAGACTTTGCACTGAATTCCAACCCATGCTTTGACCTGGGGCAAAAGCGAATTAATCTTTTGAGTCTATCATTATTAATAGTCAGGAGTTACACACTCGCCTACCTGTTGGCTTATCCACACCAAGGAATCCAGCCTGTCCCAGGATTTTAAACACTTTATGTGCTGGGAACTGTCCTTCTTCTTCCCACTTATCCACAAAGGGATTAATCTCCTTGTCAATGATCTAGATTTGGAAAAAAAAAATGTACAAGTTATAAACACAGGCATCCTGCACAAAAGCTTTTGACTAATTTCACCTAAAAACTGAAATTCAAGAAGAAAAGGAAAAAACAATATACTGAGAAAAGCCCATTAATTTTCTTACTTCCTGATGTATATTCTTATTTTCCATTCACCCACAACTATTACAACAGATGTATTCAAGCAAATGTAAGTAACTATTTTAACAATTACTACTAGAACAGGCCATCTGGGCAAATTTAAGCCTCTCCAAGGTCTATGAAAATCGCTCTTTCCCTCATTATTTGTTACCTTTTGGGGTTACAGTTTCTAGAAAGTGACAAGAAAGGAAATCTGGATTATTCTCTAAAGAACCTTGGCAAAAAAGGTTGATCTGTTCTTGATGACCATACACATTTCCAAGAAAGTCAAGTAGAAGAGATTAATTTCCTCTCTTTTTGCCTGAAACACTCTAGGAAGTTGGTGCTGTGTGGAGCATGTCTGTATTTAAACTTCCCCACAAGTCTGACACAACATGTACTGGAAAAGTATGACCTTCTTCCAGAATTGATAATATTCCAAATCTAGTCCCTGAGCAGCTCTTGTCTGTGCTACTGCTAGTGCTGCACACCTTCCAAAAGTCAGTGTCCTAAGCTGCCTGACTACAGTCCTTACACTGTTCAGGCTGCAGCATTCCCTTCCCTTCCCTTTGCAAGAAAAACACAACTGCAGTACAGCCACTACATTCAGCAACACTTTCAGGTTTCAGGGCACAAGAGCTGGATGTTTTGCTCCACAAAGTCCCAGATTTCCATGGCTATGGGAAAGGAGCAAAGTGGGCAGCCTGCAGGTGTGTTCTTGCTGCCTACCAGCTCATCATGAGGCAGCTGGATTGGCCCACCTCCACCCAGCTCTGCAGCCCAAACCAGGCCTTGGCACAGGCTGCTTCTGCCATGCAGCCAAGGGCACCCCACACCTCGGTCAGCCTCATGAGGGGGTCCAAACTAAACACCAGTTCCCAATAGAAAGGTAATGCCTTTAACAAACACCAGTTCCCAATAGAAAGGTAATGCCTTTAACCTGGGACCATGATTTAACTACTATGCTGTTCCATGAAGAGAGAATTTGTTATTTCAAGAACTTACTCCTCTTAGTCTTCTTTCCCCACTAAATAAACAACTCCTGTGGTGCTAACTATTTCTTAAGCTGGAAATAGAATCCTCTCCCTCCATGACTGCTGGGTTCTTGAGACCCTGCGAAACTTTCTTCAAACCATGTATTTATTGCACATTCTTTGGAGAATTTCAGCCCATATATGGCTGCTTTCTGTCTTCCAGCTGGCCACAGAAATAAGCATACTTGAATGCTGGTAACAGGAAAATCACTTTTTCACTTCTCTCACTAAATTCTGAGAAATTCGTATACTGAATGTTCAACTCATTCAGTAATTATTATCTCTCTCCCACTGTTATATTGATTAACACAGGCCTAATGATCAGTAGTAAAAAAATACTTGGCAGAACCCTGTCTAGGAGAGCTCACATTTCTCTTCTATATTACCATGTCCCATATGCTCAGACCCTAAGACACTGACACTTGATGTTGAAGGTGGTTACACCTTTTTGGCTGTTATAGCATCTGGCAATGCTCACTGGATAACACCCAGGAAAAGAGCATACAAAAAGTTATTCCAGTATTTTGATGATCTTGGCAAAAACATGTGGTGGTGAATATACTAACACAGAGTTTTGTTTGTTGTAGCTGGTACTGGGCCAAGTTTTTGTGTAGCCTACATACAAAGCTACCTTTGAAGTTAAGCAGATTCTCAATGACTAAGCCATGATTTCTGCAGGTTTGCTCCTGTGACTTTGAGCAAAACTCAAATTGCTTAACAGAACTGATTTATTACCAGGTGAGTTTGCCAAATTGAGTAAAACAAGGTCTTCCTTGCATGACACAATTAAACCCCCAAATGGCATTAATTTTTTTTTTTTTTAATCACAGTCCAGATACTGATAGCCACAGTTTCTTCTTAGGTACTTGACCATTCACGGTGGTTTTGTGGGCACACCTTCCCTTGTACTACCTCATAAAAACATAAGCCAAATTCCTGAAGAACTACAGTACTCCTCAACTGGCTGGTGCTTCAGCACTCATTACTGGGTATTGTCATCTCTTCCTAGAAAAGCTAATTGAAACAAGGAGAGGTATTTTTAAAGGGTTGAGCCAACAGTGACTGAATGATCACAAAATTAAACATTCATTTAAAACCTTGCTGAAGACAGGTCAAATAATGCTTTGTACTTCAACCATCTGATTTGTCCCCTCCCTTGGCTTTAGCTATTTCCTCACATTTGTGCCCTCAGAAAAATACTTTATGCTTGAACTTCAGGCAAATATTATGTAGGGATCTTAAACCCTGAAGTATCCATGCAGTGTTTGGCAATTGCACAGAAGCAAGCTTTCAGCAGTATGTGAGCATCTGGTCTGCTGCTTTATCATGAGAAACATGGAAATCATGGGTACAGCATTTAGACTTCCATCACCAGGATACCAACTATAACAAGATCTAAAACTTCTAAAAGTAGAAATATTTAGCACAGCATACTACAGATGTCATCTGACAGATATTCCCAATCACAAAAGAAATCTTTCCACCTGATCTAGCTGTCCAAATCTCAATGGCATTTGGGATGTAAAGTTGATTAAGGAGCCATATAACCTTCCTACCTGCTGAAGTACCAGTATACCACAACAAAAACTGTTATTTTCCTGACAGCAAGGGCACAGTAAGTCTCATGTGAACTGTATGTTTGAACAGTTTGTATGGAACTGGTGTTTTTCTCAGGCTGCTTCATCTGAACAATAAAGATGGGCTCTGGAGGCAGCCTTGGTTTAGCCTGCATCCCAGCATGAGCTCAGGCTGTTCTCTGGGGAGCCTCCAAAAATGCCCTCAGGGCTGTTATCAGCTGTGAATTATTAAAAACACTCTGGATACTTGCCAGAGTGGAAACAGATCAAGCCAACAAATTTACTTCATGTTGAATGATGGTAAGAAAAATGAGTGTTTTCATTAGAAACTGTCTTGACAAAGTTTTGTGAAAACAGCATCTGTAGCTTCCTGCCCAGGTCTGGGGAAATGCCATGGCAGGGTTGGGGAGGGGACAGAGACATAAATTCAGATTTTTTTAGAAACAGGTAATTTTAGTTTTTCTTCAGAAAAGAGCAAGGAAAATATCCCCCCAAATCACTGCCACAGTTTTGACTATTTCCCACTGAAACTTAGTATGTTATTTAAATGAGAAAAGTAACAAAAATATATGATGCTGATGCAGTATTTTTGCTGATATTGTAGTTGTATCAGAAAAATTAGAAATGCCATTTAATTCTGAATGCTAAAATAAATGCATTCTACAACAGTAGAAACTGTACCTGAATTAATTTGGGTACTGAGAGTATGTACAGATGACTTTTACAGCAATTAAGATTATTTTTCATTATTCACCAGCATGTTCACCTCCTATCATGCAATTCAGAAATTAAAGACCACACCAGTTCTACACACAATACCTCTTCTAAGTACCCCTTGCAGTGTACAGTTTCAGCACACTATTAGCAAGATGATGAATTTTGAAACAAAAAACTGAATTCTTAAAAAATTACACAAATTTTTACTACAGCTTCCTGTGAATTATACCTCAGTTGAGATTAGAGTAATTTATTAGAGAAGCAAGAGAAAATGTCTAAGAAAAAGGTATTTTGGATTAAGAAGATTAAATGGAGTCTGTGGAGCCAGGATTAGATTAGATGTTAGGATGAAATTCTTTACTCAGAGGGTGGTAAAACACTGGAACAAATTGCCCAGAGAAGCTGTGGATGCCTTGTCCCTGGAAGAGTTCAAGGTCAGGTTGAAAGGGGCCTTGAGAAAGCTGATCTGGTGTCCAACATCCCTGCCCAGAGCAGGGGGGCTGCAAATTGAAGATCTTTAAGGTCCTATCCAACCCAAACCATTCTTTGATTCTATGATTTTATGACGTAACTGTTCCATATTATGTTAGAAGCAGAATTTTTTCCCCTTTAAATCAAGTTACAGTAATTGAACTTAGCTCTATTGATATAATAAACAAACATGACACAGTTAATAGGATCTTTAATGTAAAAAGCAAATAAATAAACAACAAACCACTAATGACAGTTCTCAAGTGGTTGTACCTAGACATTAGTGCAACAATGACTCAAACAAGAGGTAATAGACCAGACATTTCTTTGCTTTCTATATCAGCAATAAATAAAGCAAATAATTAACAGCCTTCAAAATTACATTTTCCCTTAAGTTTTAATCAAAACCACAAGGAGTAATGACTGCACCGTGAGACAACTCAGCATTGTAGCAACACTGTACTGAGGTCAAGGTAGTACTTTAGAAAGATGTTAAGGCAAAAAAAAAAAAAAAAAACGCAAAGCTGAGGTGGGCAAACCCATGGGCCACATATTTGTGCTACCAAACCTGGACACCGAAACCCACCCCAGGAGTGCAAGGCAGCCAGGACCCCACTGGTGAGCTCCTGACTGGCCACACGTGCAGCCTGTGCAGCTCTTCTCAGCTGCTGCCCAGAAGACCTAGGGAAGGTTTTCCATGATGATATGGGGTTGAAATGAAAAAGTTCAATTTAAAAGTAGACATTCATTTCATGGCCCTGTGAAAAACATGTGGAAAAATAGTCCCCATTTCAAAGAGCAGCTGCCAACTTCCCACATGTTGATCTCCATCTTGGTTCCCCCAAGGAATGCATCCCAGCACACCTGAATGAGTTTCTCAGAATATATTACTCATTTCTTCTCACTCCAGGGCTTGGAGGTCACAGCTCTCCTTGACTCTCTCAAGACTCTGTTCCAAAGTCTTAAATAAAGTTTGATGGACAATCCTTTCCCAGTAATACTCTTCAGAAAGGTAGGGAAAGGCCACAGGGAAGGAGACTGAGGTGTGGAAACATGTTCAGGACAGAACTATGGGGGAATATAGGCGTGTGAGAGAAGCAGGTCAGCTCCTTGTAGCTGCTCCCTACTAGAGAGGCTGTGGAGAGACTGAGCTTCTGCCATGGCAGCTCACTGATGAGAATGTCTATGGCACACAGTAGGCAAATCCATGTCCTGCATTTATGAAGTCCCTCCAGCACTGGCAGGATGGATGGCAGTGCTGTGCTTCCATCCCCCATGACACATGCTAGGAGACCCTAGCAGAAGCCAGGAGCTGCCCACATGCCTGGATCACCCAGCATGGTGGTGGAGAGCCTGACCTGACAGGCTCAGCGCCGCAGCAGAAGAGGCAATCATTCAGTCTGCGATGACATCGGGTGCAGAAGCAGAGGCAGTATGTGACCTAAAACACCCCAACAGGCTAAAAATAACCCCATTAAACAAATATGATTTAACCACACAGCAGCCAGAAAATGTTCCCTGCAGTGCTAACCTTGCCTGCTCATACAAAGTTATTTAGCGCATTTTCTTCTGGCAAGGAAAATCCTTCATTACAGGCTTGCCTGTGGTCTGCAGTAACCTAGAGAGCAAAGCTGCAGCCTACTGCTTCCTCTTTCAGGATGCACCACCAGCACAGGGCAAAGGTCTTCAGGAAGTTTTGCAGGACTGTTTTCTGGGGATTGTTTTCTTTGTGGTTGGGTTATCTGGGGGGTTGTTTGGGGTGTTGGGTTGGTTTTCTTTGTTGTTGTTGTTTTTGGGGATTTTTTAAAACTAACTGAAACAAGGGGGAGAGCCCTGGATCTTCCTATAAAAACATGTGTTGTTATTATTCGTTAGGAGCTCACCTAGGAGATGTATGTAAAATATAACTCATTGCTATGCAAGGGGTCATGTCCAGATAGCAAATGTCCCAGATGCTGCTGAAACACTTCTCTGCCTCACAGACAAGTCTCCTCTTGCCCACAATATAGAAGATTTGGCATTTGGACAAAATATGCATCTCTTACTCAATAT